CTCTCTCTCTCTCTCTCTCTCTCTCTCTCTCTCTCTCTCTCTCTCTCTCTCTCTCTCTCTCTCTCTCTCTCTCTCTCTCTCTCTCTCTCTCTCTCTTTTCCTTGGCTTGATATGAAACAAATTTGGGATAATAGTTTTCACATACCGATATTTATGTGAAATGTAATCTAGTGTTTCCTTATGCACGATTCTATAATTTGAAATTGTGATAAAATTATTTCAACACACATGTTGTTTCGAACAAGTTTTCAGAAATTGCATTAAAATTGAATCTGTAAAGAACAAAAAATAAATAAATAAAAAGAAAAACAAATATCCTTTTCGCGGAACTGTTATCCACAAAAATGAAAACGATCCGAGAAATATCGCAGCACTTCATAACAATTTTTTCAATATATATGAGAATATATGATTTTATTTAGAATTAAAGGGACAGTTTTGTTATTGATACAATTTTTAATTACAAAACTTTTTTATGTATATGTTTCTTTATCGCTTCAGTTTAATTTCGATTATTTCTATTGCATTCAGAACTTCTGCATCTTGTTTGGAATATTTTAATAAACGCAATTTGTGAGAAATTATTCTGTATTTTAAAAAATAATTATATGCAAAGCAAAAATAATTGTAGCAATAAGAAATAGTTTATATGCAGCGAATAATTGCGAAAAGCAAAAATTTGATATACATAAAGATCAAAATAAAAGATCAAATGAAGCAATTAAAATTTTTGAACAAAATAATCAAGATAATGATTTTTTTAATGAAAATAAAAATTGATAACTACTGTTTTCATATTTTTCCATTGATTATAAACTATATATTTGTTCTGTGATAATTATGTTATCGATGACAGACCGCGTTTATCCAATTATTATTTATCTGAATTACTCCACGAAACAATCATGCACAGAAATTCACATGTCAATTCTCTCACATCACACATATTTATAGTGCATGAAAAATACTCGACCTTTACTCCCGGAAATTTTTATGTAAAGTTAAACATTTGGGTTAAATTAACAATTATAAAAAAGAAAAAGAATCGTGCGATCTGATCGTCATCTCATGATTTCTTTTTGGAAAAAAGTTGAAGAACAAAGATGTCGACTTGGCGATATGAACGAAATAAGTTTCAAAGTGATAAATGTCTCAAATAACCTACCATAAAATATTTGCAAGTTAACTTTTTTACAGAAATAAAAACAAGTCTGAAAATTAATTACTCTTTATAGTTGTTAATTTGAGAATTTGATCGCACTCGTAATGTTTACTTATAAGAATTATTTTAAATAAATAAGAAATTTAATTGCTTATATGATTTTGTATGAGAATGTGAATATTTTTTGATGCACTATAGATTTAAGGGGCAGATCGGTACTCTGAAAATTGAAATTATGAAATTAAATTAACAGAAAATCGAGGAATATATGCTGTCTCGGTATATTTGAAACATTTTCATCTTTTTTTGAGATGTACGTTTCGTACATGCTTAGAAAAATATGCAAAATGATTCTAATGACGTTAGTATCTAGCGTTTAGATCTTGTATATACTATATAATATAAACTGAAGAATCTGCTTATAAAAATATATAGCTGCTTTTATTCAAGGCAATTTTTCAACGTTGCCGAGCGGTGCCGGCCTTCCCTACATATATAAACGCACACACATACATACATATATACATATACACATATACTCGCATTTACACGAGATATACAAGCAGTCCTCCAAGAGTATACTAATTCCTTTGATTTTTATATTTTTTACACGCACACATCTACTCACCTATCAAAAAAGAAATTAAAAAAAAAAAAAAAAAAGAACTCACGCAGACTTCGTGATTTTAAGACTGGTAGTAGAGGATGTTTGAGATTTGCATGCTTGTGCCGGCTAAGCATTGCAGTGATGTGTGCCGCTGCATTAACATGAGAGAGAAAGGTGGAGGAGAAGAGGAAAAAAGGGCACTGTTTTCTCGTAAGTTCTCCACTCGTCGCGGGACTTTCGCCGCCGGACAATCGAAAGGGGAAAAGATCACGAAAAGCGGTCCCTACACGCGCGCACAGACCCATAATTGCTGCAAAAGGAAGCACCACGGCAATTTCCTTTTCCGTCCGTTTTCATAGACTTGGAGATCGTCGATCCCGATTGTCCGATTTCATTTCACTTTCAATGTGAAACGCTACGATTGCTGTCACAAGGCATTCCGCTATTAAAACGATAGAAAAAAAAAAAAAAAAGGAATACAAAATGGTTTTGCGGACTATTATATTTTAAAATTGATGATAATTATTAAGGGCAAATTTGTGCAAAATCAAAAATGAAATTAAGATTTTCAAACTCAATATTTAATAAATATTTATTTGACGGGACACTCGAGATCGATGGAACTAGGAAACTCGAATGAAGTCGGATAGAGTAAACTTGCTTATTTGCGAGCTCGATGGAAGCGACTAGGCGAATCAATGTCGGTCAGGCTAAATCCGGCGTTGCAAATCGAATTTAATTGCATTCAATTTTATTTACGTATCCACCGCAAAACTTCTGCGACGATCGTTCTGCAATCACGGTAAATCCTTTATCGAACTTGCTCGCTTCTTCCTTGTGAAGTTCCTCCAAATAGCTATTAATTTTCCAAGTACAGAGACTACGGAGCTTTTTAAAACGCTCGCGAACAAGAGCATCGCGATGCTTCGCAAGAGATATTAAAGTTCTCGATAAAGGATACGATCTTTCGTCAACAAACACGAACGACAGACACACGCACAAAGATAATATTCGCGAAGCTGATCGAGGATATCGGAATGTGGAATTCGGCGCTTACTAGTATAACGATAAAGGAAAACATAAAGTAACACATAGAAGATGGTAGAATAGTTGACATTCTAGAATATCTCTGTATATTTTTTAGCTTGTACTATATATATATATTAATCTTAAGCAGAGACAAGTCGTTCAGCCCGACATTATATCTATCTATCTATCTATATATCTATCTATCTCTATCTCTCTCTATCTATCTATAT